TTTTTTTTTGTCTTTTATTATCACATAACATTTTACTTCATCCTACTCTCGTTTTTTCTTTCAAAGTTAACAAATGCAGTTGTATTAATAATATGCATTCTTATCCTGTTTTCTCTTCTTTTTCTGCATTATTAAATAAGATATTAAATTGTATAGTAAATGAAAGAGTAAGTCATGCCTTTTAAATTGACCTTCTGGCATCAGAACTACATATATTTGGCATTTTCTATTTATAAAAGAACAATATAAAAAGAAGTTGCACGTATGAAACAATCTTGAGGCAAGTATACGTTGAAATTCTGATTGTTTTTTTTTCGAAATTTTCATAGTGCTTGACAAAATCTATATTAAAGTGAGATACCCTTGTAAGACGTAAGAACACTTCTAGTAATTATTCATGAGATGGTAAGTTCCTATTTCCAAGAAATTCAAATGTAATGATTATGAGAAAATTTTCAAGGAAACTTAATTCACCAGTTTGAGAAATAAGCATGGAAAGATGATTTTAATATAAAAGGGATAGAGAAATGAAGTGTATATTCTTTGGATTGAGTCGATTGGAGACAGGAAATTCATCTTATTACTATTAACAATTCACAAATGCTTCGTTGAGTAATTTGAATATCAACATTAATAACTAGTACCATTAAGTAGTTCTCAAGGTGAACAGCTCTCAAGTCAGATAGAATCATGTTGAATTTTCATTTGAACATAATACACTGTTTGACCTTCCTTATTATTATTGATCTCTTTCTCTTCTCTTTTCCCCATATACACAATTTGTTGAAAATTAACAGCTTATATGTACTTTATTTTAATTTATTATCACATTCAATTGTTAAATAATAGACTTAAAACAAATTTAATTGACAAGCATATAGGTCAGGATATGTTTCTATCTTTTTCTCTCTAAATATCATTAATATTTCATGATTATGAAAAGGTGAAAACAGTTATGAGTGTTTTCTGATTTAAACTAACATTAATATTTTATTCGTTTGTTTAGTTATGGAGTTGTTTTCATTAACAAAAAACATAACAATAACAGACGTCCAATGGCATGCATATCCTATTGGTTTTTTTCTATTAGTATTATGCATATTAACTATATTAGGTAATCTTCTAGTTATATATGCTATAATTAGTGAACATACATTACATACATCTACATATTACTATGTCGCATCATTGGCATTTGCGGATCTTCTAGTTGGTTTAATAGCTATGCCATTTGCATTTATATTTGAAATGACTGATGATGAATATTGGCTGTTTCCACGGCATCTAAGATTTCTTTGTGATTTTTGGCATTCAATGGATATATTTGCAACAACAGCATCAATATTTGGCCTATGCACCATTGGATTAGATCGATATCTGTTTATTACGAAGCCCATTGAATATCCTACTTCATTTATAGCAAATAGATGGTATTATATGCTGTCATTTATATGGATAGGTTCTGCACTCATATCATTTCCAGCTGTAGTTCATTTTGGAACAGCACAAGAAATTTTTCGTACGTACAACAGATTTTTAATGCTCTATTTTTTATTGAAGTCTTTGCACATTCTTTTCATTACTCTTCGATTCATATATATATATATATATTGATACATAGAATTGTTATAAAACTCGAATTTGATGTTGATAATGAGATTCGTAAATAATTAGCAATAAAATAGATTGTCACTTTTATTTGACAGACAATATTCCTAATAAAAAAAAAAAACTCTCACAATCTGAATCGCTAGATAATAATAGCAGATTTAATAACATACGAATAACAGTAGTCTTCGTTATTTCGTTCTAGTTAGGTAAACAAAGGAGATCTAATTATTTTTTAGTTCTACGGTAGATATTTCAACTTATTTCCTTTGTTTGTAATGTTTTAATCAAAGTAGTACACGCGCATTGACTAAAAAGGAGGGAAAAAAACCGACTGTGAACGCAGCAACAGCATATCACACTGTCGAACCATCCGAATTAGTAAAAATATTGCGTTTTTATTATTTGAGCGCTACAATAAAAGTCTATAGATGTAAAAATGTCAACAGTTAATTGGTCCAATAACTCGGATTGACTTGATGGTGCAAAATAAGGAGAATTTGACATTTTCGACTATGAGAAAGGTTATTTATTTTTGTTATATAACATAGAAAATCAAATAGATATTAACATGAGAAAGTTATATATCCATTTCAACTATTCAAGAACTGGATTTCCGGGCTTGTTTAATCAGATTCTTGGCCAACTGTTTCAATGGTTTACAGATGACTATCAAATATACTCACCATCATTTTCACAACAACATTTTTATTTATAAAACCAAAAATAGTGACTGAATATTTGAGAAAAATATAACGATGTGAATGAGCGTGTGTTTTCTACATTCCCATGTTGCAAATATCGAATTAATTGTTTTTTCTTGTTTTTCAGAGATTAGAAACATCTGATAGTCTAGTTTAGCATATAAGACGTATTTTTGTTCATCCAGTAGCGAAATGAACACCGAAACTAAAACAATACTAAAGAATAATGGTCGTACAGTTCTTGGATGATGTCTAAGACAATAAAAACTTGATATTTAAGATAATATTTACTTTTCAAGCATCTTGCGTTTCGATTGGATAGAAGCTACTTAAATCCGTCACTTGTGACCAATGAAACATCAGGAAGAAGCTCTAAATTGGATCTAATTTAGGAGACATTGGCATAATGTCAAACTGTGAAATTCAAAAATTTGCAAAAAAAATTTCGCAATCTCTTCAAGTTCAATATCAAGTAGAAGAAGCGAACAATTTTCCGTAGTAAATGAAGTCGATAATTGAACTGATAAAACCACCAGTTTTTCGATGGTTTTCATCATTTAGATCACATCGTTGATTATGAGATATATATGCCTGACAAAACTCTTGATTATAGACTGCAAAACTTGATCTTTCTAGTTTAGTATGATATCTGATTTAGGACGATCATCGACGTCAAACGAAACAATATCAGTACCTTCGTTACTGTTTAAGGAATGTGAATTTCCAGATAATCCATATTATATGTTATTTGTATCGATTGTATCTTGTTATCTACCATTGATTATTATGACTTATGTTTATATTCAAGTATATTTGGCAGCACAGAAACAAGTACAAGCAATCAATTCAGGTTACAAACATCATCACCTGCCAAAATCTGCTAAATCATTTTTTCCCGTATTTCGTTTGAGAGAAAGTTTAACTGAAAAACATTCAAGTATGAATAAAATAGTTAGAATCCCTGGAAAAAGTTTACGAAAAAAATCAATCACGTTATTATCAAATCGTAGACCGTCGTTTGAATTAATCACACTTCGTATTCATCATGGTAAATATCGAAATCCAACTATTGATTCATGTAGACGAAGTAGTCGAAATAACGGCAACAAACCTACTAAGAAAATTACACGTCAATATATACGATCAGGCAGTGTTTGGAGAAAAATTTCGAAAAATCAGAAGGCAGCTAAATTTATAGGCATTATTATGGGCGTATTTGTTGTTTGTTGGTTACCATATTTTATTTATTTCATATTGAGTGGTGTATTTGGTTTTCGTTTTAAAGATGATCAAAATCATGAACTATTATTCAAAATATTTTCATGGTTAGGATACACAAATTCATTGTTGGATGTTGTTGTTTATGTTTCTACTTCCAAAGAATTAAGAGTTATATTGTGTAAATTATTGTTTGGTCGTCGATTTAGACGTAAATACAGTCAATCATAATAACATATCCTATTATTATCCAAATATAATATTTTTTTAGTAAGAAATGTTTATAGAAGCATTGTTTTCTTCACATTTATTATGTTCATGAAGTAATTTGGATGTCAACTGTACTGTGCCAATGAAGATGCAGATTAAATCATATGGAATTATGAGGATATTTCATCAGCAGCAGGTGAAGAATACAATTCTTCAGTGATAACGCAAATTTTTTTTTTAAATGTACATGTAAAAAGAGTTTTTGTAATCAAAGTATATTGTTTGAAAAATAATTTTGAAAAAAAAATGAAGACACTGACATCATATATTTTATTTATAAGAAAAAAAACATGATGAGTCTTGTTCTAATTTTAGAAATCTTTGTTGTCGAATATTATTACTCTTGGATTTCTTTTTGCATAGAGTAATCAGTTCACTCTTGCCGCCATTCAAAGTCAGTTGTATTCGAATAAAACAATCGATCAAGAATTTTGAGTTTATCACATGGTTATGGGCCCTGATTGTTGATTGTTTTGTTTATTAGCATCTGTGTACACCGTACAGAACACAGAGTGGAAAGGATAACATATTTCTCACTATATACTACCATGCTCATAAATAATCATATTTCGCAAAAATAATCTGAGAAAATGTTCTCTTTTTTGACGAATATTTGTTGTTTTGCCTCTGAATATTCATTAAACAGTGAAATTAATCATTGATATAAAGATCTTGAATTCATAATGAAGCATTCATCATGAAAGCTATCTTTGAAAATTGATTTATTCTTTCTAAATAAGTGTTCGAGTTATTCTAACAACTCTCAATGTTATCATTAAGCTGCTTGATTGTTATCACGACAACTTTCTTTGTCTTTTTATTTTTATCTCAACTAAGCAGTTGATTATTATCATTTGCCACATGCAAAACAGAACAAGAACAGTTAATTTTATCGCAATTTTGTCATATTTCTGCATCTCGATTTTGGTCGTTTTCGTGTGATAAAGGTGTGGGTATGATATGAGTGTTGAGATATTCCAAGCAACAACCACACCCACCATCGTATGTTCAAAATGTAGCTATTTCGAATTCAATACAAGTTTATTTAGAAGAGAGATGATACCAAAAGAAATAACTAGAGAAAGAATGAAAAGAAAAGAGGAAGTAAGGATATTAGTCAGAGGATGATATTAATATCGGCAAAATATCTTTAGTTGCGTATCATTTCGTTTGGAATAGATTTAAATGAAAAATGTCAGCTTAATTTTGAGAATCTTTCAATAGCATCGGAGGTTTCTCATAATAGCTCATTTTCTGTTTCTTTTCATCATAATAACCAATACTATCGGATGTTTTATTCGTGAGCACATCACGACATTTATTAAGTTCGTCAATGGCCATCGAGAGACGCTCAATGATCTGATCATGTGTTGGCCATTCATAACTACCTATAGCAAGATTGAGCATTTGAGCATTGGCACGCCACATCTTATGAATGGCATATTCCAATGCAGCCGTTTTCTCCTGACGAAAAGTATCGTAGCGCGTGTATTCAGTAGTAAACGGATTTGTCGACATGAATGANAATCCGTTTACTACTGAATACACGCGCTACGATACTTTTCGTCAGGAGAAAACGGATTTGTCGACATGAATGAATTAACCACTGTGATACGTGGCTCCGAACAAGAACGAATGCCTGTCACTCGATGCACTATACGACTACCTAAAGAATACTTGAAGTTTTAAATAAAATACATCTGTAGTTTTTTCGTTTACCTTGCATCAATACGCATGAATTTTGACCAAGATAATCGATTGTTCGAATAAATTCGTTCGGTACTTTACCTTTGTATTGTTCAATGAG